AAAAAAAAATAATTTAAAAGAAAAAGTTTCGAAGAGAAACTTCGAAACTTGCCTGAAAAGCCGATCCAAATCTCGAAAATGATTCCTACAAAATAGACAAAAGAAGAAATGGTTAGTTTCTTCAAAACATACCAAAAAAAATTTAAAAGAAAAGTTTTGAAAGTAAACTAAACTTTCGAAACTTACCAATCATATCGTCTAAAATCTGGGAACCTGCAAAAAAAAGAAAAAAAATCAATAAATTAAAAAGTTTCAAAAGTAAACTAACTTTCGAAACTTACCGATAATATCCATTCAGGATCTTCTTCCCCTTTCCCCATTTCTTATCTTAAAGCAAAGCCCGGTTTCATGTTCAAATGGCATCCTTCTATACGTCCTATAAACAAAATAATGAAAAGAAACTGCTTAAAGGATCAACGTAACAAGTGTATGCTCCATTAATGTAATGACATGTTTCAAAAGAATTTTATGACGAACATATCCTTTAAATTTGAATTGAATAAAGGATCTATCACTGTGGCTAGCCTCATTAAATAATTTGTATTGTCCAGCTGATTATCGATAAATGTTTTCCATCATGGTAACTTTGGTATCCAAAGGTTGTATTAAACCACCAGTAATTAAAAAGGGTGAAGCACCAAGTTTCATAAATTAAAGAAACCCCCCTTTCCCGTTTCTTATCCTAAATCCAGTTTTATAGTATTTCAAGCCAGCGTCCTCTTACACGTCCTACAAAAAAAATAATGAAAAGAAACGTTAGTTCGTTTCTCATATTTAAAGTAACAAAAAATTCTCCCTTTCCCCATTTCTTACCTAAAGTCCGGTTTCGTATTCAAGAGCTGGCTCGAGCTGGACTTGAACTTTACCTAAAAAAAAGAGAAAGATGGCGTTAATGATGTTTTATAACGCCATTACACAGCCACACACTCACCAAACAACACCTACCGCATATTCCATAGCCAGAAACCTAAAAAAATAAAAGAAAATTGGCATTAGCTAGTATTGTTTCAAATGCCATTATACAACCACACACTCTCTAAACTATACCAACCAATGTGCAGTAATTCTTGCTGATTATAAGGAAGGTGAAGGTGCTCCGAATTTATATCCAAAAAATCCTCGTGAGAAAGTTAAGGTTAATTAATCCACTAGCCGGAAACCTGAAAAATAAAAAAAAATGCGTTAATGGGGTTCCATAACGCAATTTCATAACCATACTATTCATATAATACACTACCTACTGAGGAAAGGCCGAAGAACTAAAAAATAAAAACAAAATTGCGTCAGTATTGTTCCATATCGCAATTTTATAACCATACTGTACACTACTTACCGTATAACTCCAAGGAAAGGCTGAAAAACTAAAAATAAAAAAAATGTGTTGGTGTTATTCTGTAACGCAATTCATAACTGTATATTAAACTACTTACCGCATAACTCCAAGGAAAGGCTGTTTTTGCTTCATTTCGATAGAATTCATGTCTAGAAGAATGTCCCTAAAGAAAAAAAAGAAAGGGAACGTTAGTAACGTTCCCAAATTAAAAAAACAAGTATTCCTCCCCTTAACTTACATTTCCGTCATCCTTTTAAATAATAATAATGAATAAATTATTATTTAAAAAAGATCGGTAAAAAAAAAAATTTTTTTTTATATAAAAAGTTGATTATCAATCAACTGATCAGGATCGGTAAATCGGAATATTGGTAAGTCATATGACCGACATGAAACCGTAGTAATTAGTAGTTTAAAATTTTCTTTTTTTTCAGTTAATTTTTCTTTATTTTCTCCTTTTTCCAATAATTCGCTCTAGACTGCAGGCTATGCCTTATGTTCTTTTAGAATAGCAGGCAGGGTGACTACACTGGCTTCTCCAGTTGTGGTTGGGTACATTCATGACAATGGGTTCATTAGACTTGTAGTTTATGTTTTTCTTATTAATTTGTATGACTCCAGTCGTGTCTAATTTTAAAAATAAAAATAAAATATTACTTTATAGGACTGAGCCCGTTACGAGCTTAAACTTTTTACCTTCTCGCTACGTGTTCTACAAAAAAAAAATATGAAGAGAAACGTTAGTTCGTTTCTTAAATTAAAAATATCCCCTTTCCAGTTTCTTACTACCTTAAAGTCCGGTTTCATGACCAAGCCGGTGTCTTACGAAAAAAAAATAATGAAAAAAAAAGATAAAATTAAAAAAAAAATAAATAAAAAAAAAATAAATTAAAAAAAGTAACGACTAACGAGACTTACAGGTGTGAGAAAAAGGGAGAACGAAAGGGAAGGGAAGGACGAAAGGACAAGAGGATGAAGGAAAGTGAAAGAAAGGGGTTAAAGTTTTTTAGACTTTTTTTTATCAAAAAAAAAAAGATCAATCGGCAAACTGATCATGTGATACCGATTATTACTAACTGTAGTTAACTGAAATTTACTAGTTAGTAATCATATTTTTATTATAGCAAAGATATGTACATTGAATATTTATTATTAAATGCTGCACATCATGATAAAAATTTCATTGATGATGTTCATTAACGTTAAATATTACACGTACATTTAAAATAATGAAAATTACGATGTAAATGATTTGCAAAAATATACATGTGATGAACATTTTTCCCGTGACTTCCTGATGATGGACGACTCAACAGGAGCGGTTCTGCACTGATTTTATACTTTTATTTTAGATTTTGAGTCAAATTTTTCTTTACTTTCCAGTAGTTTAATTTCTACATCTAATTTTACTTTTATTACATTTACACAACCTTAAAGATATACCCAAAAAACAATTTAGAATAGTGTAAATCATTCCAACTCTGACAGTATTTACAGTTGGCGGCCTTTTGGTCGAAAGAAAAATACAGAACTTCTCACTCCTTATAGTTGTTTGTTTTTAAACATTTAGAAGCCAATAATTTTGTTACTTATAATTCTCCTTCGACTATAGATATTTTTTTATTTTATAATGTATAGTTTAGCCACACTTAATATTATATATAGTTTTATTATAACCTTATTAGTGTAGTTCCTTTATTTCTTTATGCTTTTAATGGTTACCTGTTCCTTCATCAGTCGTGTTGTTGGACCAGTCTTTATATAACAATTAGGTAGGGTCCGTTCTATGGAATGGATGATGGACTAAATGTTGGGTAGATTTCTTTGGAAACATGCTCTCTTAGATAGTCTTTCCGACTTTACATAAAATAAATAAATAAATAAATAAAAGTGTATCTTGTTTACTTATTACTGAGAATATATGTGTATTCATTTTTGTTGCTACTGTCTTACTATACTTTCGAAGGAAATTCTTCCAGGCATTTTGCTCTTTGAGCAGTCTCCGACTGATTCTCTCTGACTATCCTGAGTAGTAATAGTTACTGATGTCTGCAGTTTTCTTCATAATTGAGAAGTTCTAAAGAATCAACGCTCTTATTCCTATTATTGGAATCTGTTGTCAATTTTTCCCTCGTATGGATATTCCCGATGTTAACTCTAGTAACGACCTTGGCTTAACATAAGTCATTATATTTCGTGATTACTAATTATTACTTGGACATAAAAAATAACATATTGATTCATATCATTTCTATTTGTTCGTTTATTTACTGTTTTCCTCATACCGAAGGAATATCTTTCAAAAGTCTCCATTGTTATCGGCAGAATATTATCTCTGAATAACAAAAATATATCATCTTCCTTATCTCATAAAACCAATCACTATTATTAATCCCAATAATAACGTGAACGCCTTTGGCTGGTATCACTAACCTTGTAATAAGATGAAATATAGTAACTGTGAATGTTACAACAGCTATCACACATGACTAGTTTATTCTGAAATTTATGTCTATTTCTTCGAACGAGAGAAAAAAGAAATTATATATAAGTGGCTTTAGCCAGTTTCACTAATTTACAAGACAACATATTCACTTAAATGTAGGAAGAACACTAGTTTGAGTAACTTGCTTTGTCCTCGTTGGATGAAAAATGGTAAAATGGAGTATGAGTGGAGTATGTGTGAAAAATTTGTAGTGCGATTTCTCACCTTATGTGTTCCCAAGTTATTTCTAAACGAACTTTGTAAAAGTAACCGTTGTAATAACTGAAAAATATAATAAAATAGAATAAGGATAAATAATTAGCCGAAGGATAAATAATTAACTGATAGGTAAATAATTAGCCAATAAAAATATATTTATAGGTTAGTTTAGTGTAACGAGATAGTCATATGATAATAGATCTTCAAATTTTATTAGAAATATTAGAAATATTAGAAATATTTTTTTTAAAAATGTATAAATACAAGTGGATTTCGATAGGAAATTCGGCAGTCAAATTTTGGCTCAAATGAAAATAATATTAAATATTAAATATTAATTATTAAAAAGTTATTCAAATATGAATATGCTCATTGTACGCTTGAGAATTAATTAATATTATATTATTAAGTTCGAGAAATTTAAAATAATATTTGGTAAGAAAATAATGTTTTGTAATTTTTGTAACTAATTTTTTTTTATTTTAAACCAAGCATAGATATTATATGAACTTAACACGTCGGTGGCAACATACGATATTTTATCTTAATATCCTATGGGCGGCGTGTCACACCGTAATCAATACAAAGAGTAACAGTAAATTTCACTAAAAGGTCTGAGTATTATGAGAAGTATTATAAATATGTCTTACACGTAATGTTAATATTTTTTTTTAGCACTTTTTACTCAGATATTTTGTTTTCAAGTAATTCCAACTCCAGCTTTGATAAAAAGCGGAATTATTGAAGCTGTTGTTGTCAATAAATTAATTTTTCTTTAGATTTTCTACAATGATCTTGTATAGCTACTGAACGAATTTATTTCTGGGCTTACTCACCCTAAAATTTCACATGAAAAAAATTTAAATAACATCATCTATCATATGAAAAATAAAATTATATAATAAAAACTCTCAAGTGAAAAATTAAAAAATTTCTTTTACTGTAAAAGACCCTTTAGCCATAAAAAAAAAAGAAAATTTATAAAAATAATTTTTAATTATAAAAAAAAAGATTTATATTTTTGGTCTTTATATTCATGTAGACTGTTAATATTTAGATTGGGCATGTTTTTTTTTTGTTTAGTTTATCTTAAAAGCGCTAATTCTTTTTCCTGTTATCTTTCATTATTTCCTTAGTAACCTTGTCTTTAATATAAAAATAAAAAATAAAAAATTCTGTATTTATTCCATATGAAATATATTTTGTCATGTCTTTAGATTTTAAAAATTTTATAATGCTTAATTTATTTCTGACTGGTAAAAAAAAAAAAGATATTTTTCTCTAACAATAGTTCTGGAACTTATTCCTTAGTCTAAAAGTTTAAATTACAATTAAAATTTAACATATAATTTATAACTTATTATCAAAAATAATTGGTTAAAATTTATTTGATTTGACAAATAACAACAATTTCAGATTTATTTATTTATAAATGAACATATAAAATACATCATTTTTTCTTTGATTTTACATAATATTTCTACCATTTAATTCTCTTTCTGTTCGTTCAATTTCTAATTTTTTTAAATGATTATCCAATTTTATTCTTTCCAATTCTTCTTTATGTTCTTCAATTTCCAGTTCCCTAATTTCTTTTTGAAATTCATCATCTTAACTATTTTTAATTTTTTATTTGATCTCATATTATTTCTTTTTTTTTCTAATATAAAATAAATTAGTATAACAAGTAAATAATATAAAATTGTTAAATTGGTTATAAAACACACTAATTACCTTTTCTGTTATTGACTCCAATCTTTCATTTTACTCCACTTTTGTTCCTGTTTGACATGGGAATGTTATATTGGTAGTTGTTGTCAAATCTTCTATATAATGTTAGATCATAATTTCACAAGCTAAAAATAATAAATTCATAATAATTTAATAAAATGCAATTAAAAAACATTAATTATTCAATTGAACTTACTGAAAAATTGCAGTTTTTAGTTTTAATTTAGTTCCTTCTTTATTATGTTTGAATAAGAATATTCAGAAATGTTTGTATCAAAAGGAATGCTTTTCCACATCTCATACTTCATTAGTGAATAATTATAGTTGAGTGATGCCAAAATCCATGGTGTTTTATATTCACAAATCCAATCTATTTTTATAAAAATTTGATTAATTAATTATTAATTAATATTAGTAATTAATTGATAATTATAAAACAAAATTTTTTACTATCTATATTTTCATTGTTAATGATTTGTAATTGATCAAATAAAAATTCTACATCATCTTTAGTTTTAGCCTTAAGAAGCTGGTGCATTAATGATTTATGATGTGCGTAGTTATCCTTGCATATTTCCAAAGGTGACATGCATAATTGTTCTTGCATGATCCCAAAGATGATATGTGTAGTTGTGTGATGTGTATAGTTGTTCTTATATGATCCCAAAGATGACATGCATAGTTATCCTTGTATGTTTCCAAAGGTGACGTGTATAGTTATCCTTGCATGTTCCAAAAGGTGACGTGCATAGTTGTTCTTGCATATTCCCAAAGGTGACATGTATAGTTATCCATACATGTTTCTAAAGGTGACATGCGTAATTATCCTTGCATGTTCCCAAAGATGACATGCATAGTTGTCCTTACATGTTCCCTAAGGTGACGTGCATTATAATTATCCTTGCATGTTCCCCAAAGGTGACATACGTAGTTATCCTTGCATGTTCCCAAAAGTGACATGCATATTTGTCAAAGTAAATTTTTTGTAAAAAAAAAAAGGATTAATTTTAATTTTTTTTTAAATAGGCTAAGTGTTATATACAAAACAAATAAGATAAAACATATAAATTTGTGGTAAAATAAGACTTTGGACAAAATTTTAATTCATTTTTTATTAACTATGTCACTAAGTAGTATTAATAATTTTTTGGTTAAACTCAATATATAAAGATTAATAAATAAGATTATTAATTTTTTTTTTTTTTTTTTTTTTTTTTGATTTTGATTGACTTGATTTTGATTGACTGAATTTACAAATGTAAATCTTGATATTACAGTCGGTACAGAAGGTACGGAATATGTACGACATCGATCAAGTACTTGTAACTATCAAGCAGCTGTAACCGCAACAATCAAAATGTATACCCAAGGTTTTTTATAGTGTGAAAATTTATTAAATTATTATATGTTATAATATTATATACGGATAACTCTTTATCCCCTTCCTAAATGCATAGTTTCAAACTTATATAATTTATATAATTTCTAATTATTTACTTTCTATAAATACGCATCTTCTCTAAATGTACTATTACAATTATAGAGGATTGACCGTAGTTACTTATTCCTTTTAGATTGTTAAAAAGGTTTTTTTAATACTATTATATAATCAAATCTCAATATTTTCTCTAGTAAATATATTAAAAAAAATTTCCTTTTTATTTATATATATATTATATTAAAAAAAAAACCAAAACACGAATTTTTAAAGCTAAAATGCTAAATGCACTATTTATTCTTTAACTTTTCAATACTATTATATACTTACTATCTGTTAAATTTATACTATGATTATATCTTCATGTAGGGGTTCTTCGTAGATAGACCTTTGTTTGTTTACTGTTCTATATGATAAATCAAGAGCCTGCTTTGCGGCACGTTAAATGTTATAAGAATGTGTATGATTTTCTCATACACGGAATGTAATGTTTGTTTATAATAATATATTCCAATCAGAGCTAAACAAAAATGTTATAGATTCGTTTAAAGGAAGCGTTGAAAACATTATCCGTCGTGATTGTGCATTCTGACTCTACTTTTTTCGTTCATAATTCATAATTTTCATCCATGAATGGTCATTATTTTTTAAGAATAATAAAAATTAATTATAAATTTCAAATTCTGTTCTTCATATAATATATAATAGAGTTAATTTTAATTTTTTTTTTTTTATTTTTTATTATAATTTACATCTAATATATTTTAACTTAATATCCATCCATATGATACATTACATTGTACAACATTTAAAATAATAACTTACATAGAAACCTATATTACCGAGAATTAGGATTAGGATACAAGAAAATTAGAAGTAATACCGAATTCAGGCACAATTTTACCACCAAGTTGTTTATGATGTCCTTGATAAAATATACGATAAGTTCCAGCTATGAGGTAAAAGTAAGAAGAGAAGGGTAAATAAAATAAAACCATTTGAATCATGTATATTAGATTGAAATTAACAAACAATTCAGATTACACACATACCTTCAACATCATCATCAATTTCCCAAGTAATTCTAACAATACTATTACCCAACCATTTAAATTTTGTAGTTATATCTCCATCATTTTTAAAATTAACCCAATTATTATTATTTTCCAATCTTTGCACATAAAGAAAACTACCTTCTAATTGAATATGATTTTTGGGGTGACCACCAACAAATTCAACTGCAACAGTTTCACCTCTAATGTATTTTTTATTAGCATCTTTTGTAACATCACCAAATTTTTTGAATAGAGGAGGAATATCAACAATAACTGGTAGTACAAAATTTAAAGCTTTATCAGTAAAATCAGGAGCTTCAGGACCTATTGGTACATAAAGATTATCAGCTAATGCAATAGATAAATCTGTATATAATTGAAGATAAGCGTTTAAAGTATTTGGACCATAAATTGTTGAACCACCTTCATATCTTTGTACGAGATATTCTTCAGGTGTAGTAATATAATGTGTATAAGAATTTGAAGGACCACTAACGATTACAATTCCATTTTCATCAATGACTCCTTTTTTCATCAAAATGTTCTTTACAGTCTTAGTTAATCTTCTACCGCTCATAGTAGTAAATTCACCAGGTACGACACAAATTATAAAATTACCAATTTTTAATAGTTGAATTTCGATAATGGAAGGAGTAAAATCATAAGGAGATCTCATTTCACCCGTAGCCAATACGATTGGCTTAGGTCTTTGGCATTCTATTGTCTCTTTAGTAGGTTGTTTTATTATACGTGTAATTAATTTCCAAAAAGGGTTACCAGTACTATTATCACCTTGAATAAAATTAAATCCACCTGGACCATCAGTTGTACCAGCAATCATACTATAACCAAGAGCCGCTTTACATAAAGAAACAGTTTTTCCATTAAGAGTAAAATTATAATTTTGAATATTGACTTTTGTAAATTTATAATCAATACTACCAGTAATAGGAGTTTTAGCTGTATCAATTAATTCTTTAGCTTTAGCAACATGCAATTCCGCAATCTTTCTTGTAGCATATATGTCATCCCCAGTTAAATAACCATAACCTCTACCGAAACAAGTTTCTTTCTTTCCATTACAAGTACTCGTCCTATATTCACAAGGTAATCCTGTATCAGCACAATAAGGGCCAAAAATATTTGGTGAGCTATCACCCAAATTACTATTAGCAAAAGCATGTATAATAGTTTCTTCACCAGGTAAAGTACTATTATTATATTCCCTTTCTAAGAAATATGATGCGGTTCCTTTATTATCTCCTGATACTAATGTATTGTTATTCATCATAGATACGGGGTGTACAGGAAACCAATTTATACTACCAATAACATCACCTTTCGCATTTGTGAATTTTAATAAGATCATTTCTTTATCTACATTATATTTATATTGAGATCTTTCTTCTTCAGGATTTTGTTCATACGAAAATGGTGATCTATTTATATTTGTATTTAATAATTCTCCAGTTGATACGAATATTGATGCTGGTTGAATTGAATTATGAGCTTTTACTATAGAATTATAAATTCCTGTTGATATAGCTTCCGTATTCTCTTTAAAATATCCAAATGATGTTATTTGATATAACTAATACGAGTGTAAAAAAAATTGAAAAGAAAAAAGGAGAATTTATTAGGAGATAAGAAAGAATTAAAATGATTTTAAAATGATTTTAAGATAAACGGGATTTTACCGCATATTGCAAATATCCGGCTGGTCCAGCATGTGTATGTGTTCCTGATATGGCAACTACACAATATATGAAACAAGTTAACACGTTCACTGCAGAAGAAAGAGGGGAAATAAAATTTTTAGAGAAACATACCATTTTCATCATTATAAAGATCACCAAAGGATTCTTTTAATTTTTCTAAAGTTGCTCTTCTAACAGCTAATGATCCCATAGCAAGATCGGCGGAAACAAATACAACCCTTTTACCAGTATCTGGATCTATTATAATAAATGCTCTTGATCTTTGTCTTATATGTAATCCTGATGCGATTTGTCCTGGCATCGCATATCCCATCATATTAACTCCAGCTAATATATCAATGAAAAAATAATTAGTTTTTTATACAAAAAAATGTGAAAAATAGTGTAAGATAAGTACCTACTATTCCTGTTATATCAGCTATTCCAATTCCAACCTATAATTATGTGTACAGTATTTATTAGGTTAAAAAAAAAGAGAATTTTAAAAACACAAAAAACTTACATTATAGTTTGTTACACTTTGTCCATGAACTAAATTTTGATTTAACTGCGTTGTAACCATTAATAATATATATAATATATAAATCCATAATTTAATCATTTTTTTTTTATCAACTAATTGATTTTGGGTAAATACTATTAATGCAAAAATAGAAAAATTTTTTTTATTCAAGACTTTTTTTTTAAGAAACTCGAAAAGTTTACTGAAATACAAAAAAGGGCTGAATTTTACTACGTGGATTATTACACATTAATTACGATTTTTTAAATGTCAAAATTCAACTTAAATAATTACTAGATTTGGCTTAGTATAATTTAGTTACAAATAAAGTTTTCAATGGCGTAACAGACCAGCAAATACATGTGACAAGTTGATAATTTACATAATTCTGTGTTTTTTTCATTGTAATATATACTCACTAAACAAGCCTCAAAAGATTATCCGAATTTCCCACGTATCCCAAATCCCGACTAGATTTATGAGAAAAAATCACGTGTACCTTCCAAATAGGAATTGAATTTTACCGGTCAAGAATCTGGGCAATTGATGTTTTGGACACTTGTACAAAACCCTGACCAAAACTTGTCCAAACTTAAGCAATTTTTTCATTGGACAGGTTTTGGACAGATCATATAATTAAAAAATTAATTTGGCCAATATTTAAAAAGGATAAAGTAGAGAACTTTGCATAAGTATAATGAATCTTTAAGCATTCTTTTAATATTATCTTGTAATACAATATTTATTTTTTTTTTGCCATTTCAGTCTAATTCCAATACTGTTGTAAGTTTAAAATTAGTTTTAAACAAGGATAGTTTTAAATGGATTTGAATATACTGTATATAATCAAAAAAAAAAGCAATTAATATATTTAAACTCCAATACTATAATCAAGAATAGAGCTTTCCTTGAACGGATAATATCCTACCTAGGATTTATCCGGATTATCCCATTATCCTAACTGTATCCAGTTAATTTTAAAACGGATATCCGGATTTAAAATTGGATAATCCGCTTAATATCTTGATTACAAGTGAACGCAAAATCTGAATAAAGTACTAAAACATTAGTTAAGTACATATTTTTTTTTTTTTGTATTTCAATATGTTGAAATTTGAAATTTGAATTTTAATAAAGTTTATACTTTTAAATTTTTAATAGCGAGATGATAATGATTTCATCATAGGATAATCCGAAATTCAAATTTCTCCAACAAATTATCCTAAATTATTCATAGGGAAATCCAGTGAAAAGCTCTAATCAAGATTCCAAAATAAAAATATTACCAGATTACAAAAACTTTACCAGTTGAATAAACTAAGTAGAAAGTAAAAAAATAGATTTATATTTATTACTCAGATCTAATGATTATCAAAAATATTTCAACAACGTTGATTTTTTTGTTTAATTTCTGTATAAAAAAATATAAAGAATTTGTAGTTAAATTAGATTTTAGTGCATTAGATTTTAATAGGTTTATCAACTTTAACGTTCCCAAATGTCAGCGTCTTAAATCTTAATGACCGCTCAATTAAATAAAAATTAATAAAATATCCGATTTGTTATGTGATTTTTCGTATTGAACGTTAATCAGATTTCTCCTACGTATGATAGAATAACGATGCATTTCGTTTGGACAAAAAATTTTGGAAAGCATTTGAGAGTTAAATTAATTTATCGTAGAATAACTAGTTGGAGCTTGATAATAAGATTAAGCAAAATGTAATACAATATATAAAAAATTTGCGGTAATATATTTACTATTATGAGTCTGCTATAATAAAATCTTTTTCGATGATACCACAATGAAATTTTAAGAGTAATGTATTTTATCATCTGAGGATGAAAATTCCCTTTATTGTATAATCAGTTGAAATTTATCAGTAAAACAATAATTAATAGCTATAATACTGTATGTTACGTCACACGATACAAGCCGTCAAATCATGTGCACAATGAGCTGGAAATTTTTTAACTCAATTAGTAATAATCATATTTGATTATGTCACGATTTTTTATACTTTGGCTATAACCTATCACTAACTTATGTAACTTCAAAATTCGTTATTGTCGCATACTTTTTTTTCTAATCAATATTAGACCTGAATTTTACTAATATACACCTCTTCAAGAACTAAATATAAATGAATAAACCTTAAAAAAAATATTTTGAAACTTTTTATGATATTTAAGATAATATGATTTTGATATTATGGAAAGGTAAAATTATATTACGCGAGACACTATGGGAAATATTTAGTTATAATATTAGTTATGACTCATAAGCTAATGAGTCATAACTAATTAATTTCNTCCAATCTGACCTAATATAAAAAATATTTTGGTGTAATCTGATATGTAAAAAAATGCCAAAATATTCTTTTTCACTAAATAATTATAAAAAAAACGTTTAAGTTTTTTCTTATAATTTGATATATAAAAAACTATACATGCCACCCAAATTATTTTGGGCTGCCGTAATATAAGTAAAATCCCAAATTCAATTATGGCATCCCAAATTATTTTGGTACTTTATATAGTAAATTATATATAAACTGAATGAATTACAGCATCCCAAATTATAATTATGACATCCCAAAATAATTTGGGCAGCATGTATATTGTCTCTTATACACATCTGTTCCTTTTTCACAGTATTATCCCTCATATTAATCCTTCTAATAACTATGCAACTAAGCATCACTCTCAATATACATTTGTGGTAAGGTGACAAAGGAAAAAATATTCTGCTGATGATAGTTTTAACATTTTTCATATTAGATATCTAATAATATTTATATTATTTACTTTACAACAGAAAGACTTCAAGCTATTAGCAGATGCTATCTGAAGAAGCCTAACAAACAAAGACATCACGTACTAGAGGTATGATCTGAGTTCTAAAAGACCATCCGGATTGAATTCAGATGCTCATTAGTACATCCGGATTCAATCCAGATCGTTAAACTAATCTTAATTCTGGCCAAAATTGTAATTTTGGGTAAAATTGAAGTTTTAATAATGAGAGTTAGCTCTGCCTAAACTTTTAGTACTGGCCTAAGCTAACTATAATGCTGGTCAGAATTAAAAATCGGATTAATCCGTCAAAAATAATCAGATACGGATATCCGATTTCAATTCGGATAAACGGATCAATCTGAATTGACTGAATTACGGATCATAGCACTATCACGTATGCCTAAGAAAGGGATAAAGTGACGTCTGTGACCAAAATTTCTGCCAATATTTTCAGTAAAGCTAATAGTAAATATTTATTACTTTATTATTTTTATACTTGAATCAATATTAAAAAAATCATTTTTTTTATTATAGAGTGAAGGTGCATATAAAACACTCCACATATTATTTGTGCAGTTTTCAGTTGTTTTATAAACTTATTTCTTAAAGGAGTTCTTGAAAAAGGGTATTAAAAATGTAAAAATTTTTTTTTTGATGTTTATACTTATACTTTATATTTGTTATCTGACTTCTTATCATTGAATCATATTTATTCCTTTTTTTTATTTATCAGTTATAGCACTATTTTGTATTGAAACATTAGACAACAGATGAAAATTCTCTGAATGGTGCATTACCAGTTTTCTAGATAAGTGTAAATGGCTTATTAAGAGACTTTAAAAGAGGTGTGTATTTTTTTATTTGCAAAGTGAGTAACTTCCTAAGCTAAAATTAGAATGGATAATTCATTAAGTTGGGGAGTTCACAAATTTTACTTAGGAGGATGCTGGATTTATTTGTTTAGGTTAAGTAAAAGTGAGCAAAATGGGTAATTCCTATGAAATTACCTGCTTTTTCTTTTTTATTTTATTTTTATTTTTATTTTTTATTCCCTTTTTTTCTTTTTTCTTTTTTTTTTTTATTTCTTTTATTCACTTGATAACCAATAGAGCTTTGAATGGGTCAGGTTAAAATAGATAATCTGACAGGTTGACCTGAAAAATTCAGATCAAATAGCAAATTTAATGACTCAACTTTGGGTTGAATCAGTCACAAGCTGAGTACCCAATCTGACCTATTAACCTGATATATTTTAGGTTCAAAAAAAGACATTTTGGTGTTTTTTATAAATAAAAAAATGCCAACAGGATCCTGCTTATTTATAATAAAAGTCACTGTAGAAAATTGGCCCTTTACTAATAGTTTTTACCTTACTTTTTTTTTAAATTCTATTGGTTAATTAGCTAAAAAGGAAAAAAATCATAACAATGTAACATAAAATTTCCTTTTATAGTAGAATTTGCAAAGAATTTTATATATGATTTTTACCTTAAGCCTGGAGGTGACCTATCTTATAAGTAAGCGGGGTCTTGTGTTAACCCATTTTTTTGACCTGAATCTGATGTTTGTTTATAAAATTAATAATAAAATGTTTTTTTTAAATCAAAAATGTTAAACCTGATATATTTCATTAAAAAAACAAATAAAAGTTTTTTTAGTTAAAAACATTAAACCTGATGTTTTTTCATTAAATGAATAAAAAAATGTTTTTTTAATGAAAAAACATATAACATAACATTTTTTATTAAATAAATAAAAAAGTTTTTTTAATGAAAAACATATAACCTAATGTTATTTCATTAAATAAATATTTTTTAATGAAAAAATGCTGAATCTGATGCTTTTCCATTAAATGAATTGAAAAAAAACATTTTTTTCATTAAATAAATAAAAAAAAAACATATAACTGATGTTTTTTCATTAAATGAATCAAAAAAATGTTAAACCTGATATTTTTCCATTAAATGAATCAAAAAAAAAAAACATTTTTTTCATTAAATGAATAAAAAAACATTTTTTTAATGAAAAAACGTATAACTGATGTTTTTCATTAAATAAATTAAAAAAATATTTTTTTTTAAACATCAATGGATCAGGTTGGGTATCCAATCTGACCTAATATAAAAAATATTTTGGTGTAATCTGATATGTAAAAAAATGCCAAAATATTCTTTTTCACTAAATAATTATAAAAAAAACGTTTAAGTTTTTTCTTATAATTTGATATATAAAAAACTATACATGCCACCCAAATTATTTTGGGCTGCCGTAATATAAGTAAAATCCCAAATTCAATTATGGCATCCCAAATTATTTTGGTACTTTATATAGTAAATTATATATAAACTGAATGAATTACGGCATCCCAAATTATAATTATG